CAGAGCTTTATGAATTCCTTTAATGTGCAGAAATGCAGCTACTGATGAAGTAGATTACCTGAATGTTGTCACTTTTTCTGTCTAATTAAGGAGGTTTGTAATCTGTGATTATTGCTCATTTTTTCACAAACTGTTAATGATGTAAATGCAGGAATTTAGATGCTCTAGAAACACATTTACATTCACATATTCAGTTAAATTTGTATAAACACTCTTGTATCGAAACTCACAGCATGCACCATCTGATATGAATGAATTTCTCTCGTGCTGCTCTGGGGACTGGCTCTGGATCTGTTGCACTGAGATTTCACTGAGCTTTTTTCTCTTTAATGTCTTTAGACTCTTGTGGCTGTAATGTTGCTGTGGGATTTCACTCGGTTTTAGTGTGTTTCTGGGCCCTCGTCATCGTAATGTTGCTGTGGGGATCTGAAGTGGTCGTGTGATATTTGAAATTTATTAAAGGATTATTGGGGTTTTTTTCTTCTGTCAGGCTCAGTCAGGATGTTTGGCGGATGCTACTTTAGCAGCTCCGCAGAGAATTCAAGCAGTTTCATTTAAATCAACGTGGGCAGACAGCTGGTTAATCATCCAAACAAATCAATCCCTTGGATCAATATACAAGCAAGAGAGGCAGCAACAAGCGGGTTTCCATGTTGGAGTAAATCAAGGCTGAATGTTTTACAGCTGGCTCTCAGAGGCAATCTGAATGACATGTTTGGTATGCAGTGGTGGAAGTATGTAAATGCAGATTATAGAAAGCTTACAGAGAATCTGAAAGGTGTTTTTGCTGCAAGTAAATGCAGGTGTCATGTTACAGTGTGCAGTGTGCAGCTGCTTTTGTTTTCCTTCAGACTGCAACAGTTTGACATGAAAATCTAAACATGGAAGTTTAAGTATTACACAGTGACGACAGCATGCGGTCTGCAGAGCAAATTGTGTTTGAAAGGTTTCCACATTCCCTACATGTTTGCTATGATTCACTGTTGCTGCCTGTGTGGTCGGTCACTGGGCCTCATGATGACTGACAGCTCACTGAGACAGACATGGTCCCACTGTCCCAGTGTTCGCTTAGCTGTGTGTGTGCTTGTGTGGACCAATTTTATCTCAAAACCATGTTGTGAGGACGTTGTACGGGCTGTTTGAGGGTCAGACCTGGTTTAGGGTTCAGGTTTGGGTTAGGGTCAGGAAGGGGTTTGACATTTAGCTGTGATGGCTAAGGCTAGGTGTTAGCTAGGGGATGCATTATCTCAGTGAGTGTCCTCACAGCTATAGAGAGTCCAGCGTGTCTGTGAGTGTGGCTTTCTCTGCTTTCTGACACATCCCCACCTGGATGATTAATACACCTAGAGATAGACGCACGCAAAGAAGCAGGCTCGTGTGTCATGTACTGGGTAAAATGAGTGTGTGTGTTTGTGGTTGTGTCTCTCATGTTGAACCTGATGTGAATTGACACGTGAAAATACCCACAATCCCATAGGACAGGTCTCTGAGCTCTGTGCAGAGCTGATTACCTGCTGCTGACACACACATACATGTGTTTGCACAGCTATCGTTGTGAGGACCCTTATTGACAGAAGCATCACCTGGCCCCTTACCAGAACCTTAACCATTCCAACTAAAAGTCCAACCCTATCCCTTTCCCTAACACCTAAAACCAGGTCTGAACCCTCACGTTCCCAGAATGTCTTCTCAACAGTAGCATAACCAGTCCTCACACTGCTGGGCATACAAGTACACGCAAACACTCCTTCCCTAACAAAAAGAGGTAGAGAAGTAAAATGGTTTCCAGCTCTTGTGTTTGTTGGAATCTAACCTCAATTCATGACCATAGATCTTTCAGTAATGCAATTACTGACTGCATTTCGCATATTTACTAGGTAGTTTCCTATTTTTGTGATTTTATGCTTTACTAAAAGGTCTTTATATAAACCTAGATGTATTTGGTCTCCAGAGATCAAATGCTTCTCTCAAGTAAAACATTTTGAGCTGTTGAGGTTTTGTTAATATAAAACTCAGGGACACTTGTTGGGAGCGTGGCCTTCATACTCAGTCATATATGGTACAATCTCATTGACTGAAAGCCTTTACTGTGAAAATCAGCAACAGGAAGTGTTGACTGTGCAGTACGTTGTTGCACCTTAAAATCTTACTATGCAGATGGGATTGTGTTCTCTTGATGTGCCCATGTCAACTTGAAATCCAGGCTGATGAACACTCGGAGGCGAGACGTCACATTTGGTTCAATAAATCCACTTCTTTAGGGGCATTTCTTCAGTGTGCACATGTTCTCTGCTCTTGAGACTATTCTGTCTTTGCTTGACACACCCGAGGATGTGATGGGATGTGCATGAGTATAAAAAATAGACATTAACCTGTTGTATACAACAAAAGCAGTAGCACAGCTGCTGTACTGTAGACTGTGATGACTGTCACTCCAGCTGAGACTGTGGAGTTCAGGGTAACTTGTTGAATAATACGGTTTCGTCATATCAAAAAGTTGGTGCAGCAGTGAGGAGTCGTGATTCAGCAGCACTTAAATAACATCTGCACCTGCAGATTTACCCAGAGTCAAGATCATTCCTGTTTTACAGACGGATGGATGGATGATAGATTATCAATAGAGGGACAGAAGGATCAATAGAGGAGGAGAGTGGCTGAAATCAGGCCAACCTTCTGTTCAACCAGATCTGTTTATCTGTGGGGGTCCAAGTTTCAGCCTGGACCGAAAAAGAGGCTTAAAGGTGGAGAAGGAGGATGAAGACAGTCATAGAAATGGCAGAGCAAAAAACAAAAAAACGACAGGGAATAAAAGAGAGTATAGGATGAGATGAGAAAGGAAAGAAGCAGGGTAGGAAACAACTGACTGGACCGAAAGCTCTGTGTGCTGGTGGACAGATGTACAGCGCCCCCTGGTGGCTGCTGGGAGATCTACTAACACACACACGAAGCATTTCATTATAAACTTTATATAAAAGCTCCACATCATTACACTGATACACGATATCCTGTTTCTCTCTCGCTCTCCTGATGAGAATAAATGAGTCTCCCGCTCCAAATGAGGAGGTAATGGAATATTGAATAAATGATTTTCCCTCTCCACAGCCTCAGCCTCGAGCCTAAGTGTGTTCAAAGTTAAAGTTAAAAAGATTTATCCATACGTTCAAAGTTTGTTGCTTCTTCTGTTTGGTCTCCTTTCATACCAGGCTCTGATATTTGTTGAGATAATTGGTTACAACACTTTAAAGACATGGGGGGGCGGCGCTCGGACGGGGGTCTCACCGGGAGTAATTCAATGTAGAACCGCCACTGGTGACTGTTAATATTCTTTGCTGGAAAGTCAGTCAACAAATAGATGCAAAATAAGTAAAAATAGATGAAAACAGTCGCAAAGAGATGCAAAATAAGCACAAGGACGTGCAAAAGAACATCACAGACAAAACCAAGTAAAACAAAAACAACAGAAAAGAGAAACAAAGCGAGTAAAACCAGACACAAAATAAATAAATGGAAAAGACCAGAAATAGTTGCAAAACAAGTACAGAGATTCAAAATGTCCACAAATAATTACAGATACAACATGAATAAAATGAGGCACAAAATGACCACAGAGATGCCAGAAAAGAGGCACAAAACTCTTGAAATCTGTGCATTGAATCTGCTCTGTGATTGGTGATAAGGTTCTAATGTAAGGTGGGATCTGATTGGCTGAGAGAAATGGTGGGAAATTAAAAACTTGATGGATGTTTAAGACGAGGAATCTGTTTTCCTTGGATCCTTGTTAGAGTCTGAATACCCTAATTAGACTAATGTTAACATGATGGACCAATCACATGACCCGATAACAAGAGGGAAGGGGCTAATTGATGTTTAATTACTATGCAACTGTAACTAGTAAAGAAAACCTGAACCCCTGTCTCTGTAATGAGCCTCATTAGTGGAAAATGAAACATACTGATTGGTCTAAACCTCTAGTGTGATTGGTCAGTGTCTGTTTAGACTTTAGTTTTTAGTTTTTGAATTTTGCACAGACAAAAAAAAGCCCAGATTTCTTCCAGGAGCCAATTATGTTAACTCACACATACACTGCAGACGCTCTCACACTACATATATTTACAGCAAAGATAAGCAGTGAATTTACTTTAACAGCCTTGGAACTAAATTTAATGGATAGATGCTGCCACGTGAGAGACGCAAAACAGACACATTTTAAACATAAATTAGACGTCATCTTTCTTAATTAGTGCTGTGCAGAATTGATAAACTCATTAAAAAGCAACAACTGAGCATTAATAAATTACTTGATCTGCACATATTTCCTTATTCCTTATTTATTTTTTAACTAGTCCCCTCTGTAGCTGCATCCTACAGCCTGCATTGCCCCCTGCTGGTCTGCTGCATGCTGGTAGGTTGCCAGGTTTGCACACATTGCACCAGAAATCACCCAACTGTGTTTAAAAAACAAAACGTAGCTTCTCAATATTTGGAAAGATGCAAATAGTTCTTTAAAAAAAGCGAAGCAATTTTGAGTCATCAGTCAAAGTCTCAAGTCCTTAAATTTCCAAAGTCTGACTCGAGTCAAGTCTTGTGACCCCAGTCCTCCACCACTGGTGGTTTCTGCAGTGACCCCATTCCAGCAGGTGGCAGCAATGTGCCCATGAAGACATCCAAAGAAGAGAAGGAAAAAGCAGCGGAAGGGTTTCTCCTGTCTCATCAGACAGGTAACAGCGGCAGGCTGTTTTACCTCAGGAAGCATCACTTGTGAATAACAATGTTAAATGTTTTCTGACTTGTATGTTGAAATTACAAAGAAAAATGTGAATAAATATATTGTCTTCGTAAACAAACCACATGACAATGACCACTATGATTTATCGGCGTGTTCTCCAGGTCACAGTCATTATGGTTAATCTTTGGTAGTGTTAAGGCAGCTAAAGTGTGATGTGAACTGGTTTTACTGTGGAGTGTTTACAGCAACGGGATGACCAGGTACATGCAGAGCCAGCACACTGGTACATGGTGCACGGCACACTGAGGTACATCACTTATGTAACCCACGGGGATGTAAGGTAGCATAGGTGGGTGGTTTTATTTTACAGTTCGTCTGGTTTAGGCTTTAAATCAGAGTATAAATGGAATCCAGCTCGGTGTAGTTGTCACCAGAACTGGGTGCTTGTAGCTTTAAGAAAATTAAGCAAGGGGGATGATGGGTAAGGAGAGAGCCGGCTGGAGGAAAGAGAGACAGACGAACGGGAGAGACCACAGTGGGTTGATTAAATGAACACGGGAGTGACATTGAAGGTTGGAGTTATTAACTCAATAACTCGAACTAAGTGTAAGAGAAGACGTCTGTTCTGCGGTTTGGAGAGGAGATATTTCGGCCGTGAGATACAGCGGCGCCCGAGGCTGGGGACAGGAAGGCCATGTCGTTCGAGGATTGGGACGCACAAGGTGGAGTGTTTCCTAAAGTGCATTACCACGGATCCAAGGTACTATGGATATTGTTTTTCGGATTTCAAGAGAGTGAAGAAGACTGTGGGGTCAGTGTTCCAGGACTAGCGCACTTACAGGCCTGCTACGGGGTGGGAGTGTGAAAGTTGAGTTATGGTATGTGTGGGCCCACGGTAACTTCTAGTACAGAGAGTTGTGTTCCTAATCTGTTCATCTGTATGTTTATGTGAAGTAACTTTTAGTACAGAGTTGTGTTCATAATCTGTTCATGGTATGTTATGTGAAGAAGGTGTTGGTATATGTACTCAATTGAGGTGAAGTGTGGATTTGTATATTTCATGGGTTTTGATACAGACAGTAGAGGGTAACCACTGTGATTGGGGATATAGTCAGACTGCTATATATCCTGCATTTCCTTTCTTTTATTTTTTCTATAATCTTTTAAATTAAATGTTTCATGTTGGCAGGTAATACCTAGTGTCTGAGTTTACTCTAGCATAGTTAACGAGTGGAGACTAGGGAAACATCACACCTGTTACTCCGCAGTGCAGTAAGGAGTATATAAACGGTTGGATCAGTGACACCAGAGGGGCCTTATTACACAAGCTCATAGGCACTTTTGTTGAACCTGGTACAGTCCCTTACATTCCAAATGATAAAGGGGGTAGGGGGCGCTACATAAAATGGGGGCTCGTCCGGGATACTCCCTCTGGTGAGTCATTACGATCCTTTGAAGCAAGACAACAAAAGAGAAGATCAGAGCATTCAAGCCTAAGCACCACTGTCTCCTTTGTCTCAAGTAAGTGAAAAGTGATTGAACAGCATAGTATAATGGATCTGAGGAAAGACACCAGTTTGCAAGTGGAGCTATCCAGTTGGTGTGAGGAGGCTGGAATTGATAAAACCCTTGCAGTAATGTTACTAAATGTCCCTGCCAACACGGACATTGCAGCCAATGAAGGAGTAATGGAAACAGTAAAAGTACTGGGAAGAGTTCGTGTCAGAGACACGTGAGAAGGACCCACATTACATTACCTGATAGTTTTATGTGAGTGTAAACAAGCCACTGACCTTAAGCACTTACCTCCAGAAGTGTCACCTGAAGAAAAGAAAGAGCCATGGGCAAACATAGCAGTCCAATCAATGAATTCAGTAACCAACAATGGCTCAGGAGATTTTACTGAACGCCTTAATAAGTTTTTAACAAGAGAAAGCAAGACCCTTGGTGACCTACAAACTTTTTGCAATCCCCGCCACACAACCGGAAGCTCCCCTGAGTCCATCATATGTGCAGTGGGTGGAGTTCTGGAAAAGACTGCTAAGCATCCCAGTGACGGTAATGCTTACAGGCGCCTGCGGACATTTTCTGCTATAGTTCCTACCCCATCAGGAGGGGAAAACATGGAAACTTGGATGGAACAAGCGAGACTCCTGATATCAGAGAGCGAGTGCTCTGAGAAAGAGAAACAACGACGAATTGTAGAAAGCCTCAAGGGACCTGCCTTGGAAATCATAAGGGCTGTCCGATTCTCAGATCCTGAAGCAAGTGCATGGCATTACCTCGAAGCATTAGAGACCACTTTTGGATCCTCAGAGTCTGGGGAAGACCTGTACTTCAAGCTTCGTCTCATGCGCCAGAGCTCTGGAGAGACCCTCTCAGAATTCCTGAGACGGATAGAGAAGATGCTCAACAAAGTCGTAGAGCGGGATGGAGCGCCTCTAGAACTCGTTGACAAGGTACAGATTGAGCAACTAATTCGAGGGGCAGTAAACTCAGACATGGTGTTACTTCAGCTGTGGTTACGAGAAAGAACCACTCGTCCACCTTCTTTTCTGAGCTTACTGAAGGAGATTCGTGAAGCAGAGGAGAGTGAAACCTCTCGCCACAGAGTGTCTGCTAAAGTCAAAGCTATACATTGCTGTGAGGAAGAAAGAGAGAGTGCCTTTGCTATTCAAGAACTGAGGGGTGAAATCAAAGAACTAAGAGCTCAGATATGTGGAGGGGAGTCCAAAACGGTGTCTACATCATCTCTGGTAATCCAACCTAAAGAAAAGCAGAAGGAGAAAATAGACAATACTGAAGTACAGGAATTAAGAAAACAGATACAGCAGTTGCAGCAGCAGTTGGCGGTTATGAGTGTCAGTTCTGCACAACTTGCACTTCCATCACCAGAGCCTCAGACCAACTCCTCTGTGTCTTCCAAGGGTTTGAGAAGCAAGTCGGCACGGGAAAAAGAGGAGTATTTCTGCTACCGATGTGGAGAAGATGGCCATATCGCAACTAAATGCCAGGCTATACCCAATTCTGAACAAGTGATTCAAAAGCTGATCCGATCTCTGCGGCAAGCAAAGAGAGAGAAGTATGAGGCCGATGACAGCGACAGACAAGCCCAGAACCAAGCTTGTTTCTCAAAAAAGAGTCAGGTGGACATCAATGAGTTTAGTAGTCTGCCAAAGGGACTAGTGGGCCCTGCCTCCACTGTCAAGGTGAAGCTGAATGGACTGGAGTGTACGGCTCTATTAGACACAGGATCCCAAGTGACTATTGTGTTTGACATTTGGTTCTCCAAGAACCTCCCCAATGTACAAGTGCACCCCCTCACTGGGTTGTCAATCTGGGGGCTCAGTTCGTCTAGCTACCCATACAAGGGGTATATAGTTGTTGATGTCACCTTTCCTGCTGCTGTTACTGGAGCTGAAGAATCCATTTCAATCCTGGCTCTCATATTCCCAGACCCGGAAGGTCCTCCTCAAGTGCCTGTTATTATTGGCACCAACGCCAGTTTTTTCCAAAGACTTGCTATGCTCAGTCAAGAAACCGAGGAAGTTGGGGTTGCACGGGTTTTGAGAATCCAGACCCAAACCCCTGCCAAACAGCTGTTAAAAAAAGGAGAAGCCAAAGGACTCACTGATAAGCCGGAAGGACAAGTCAGGTGGAGAGGACCTGGGGCCTGTGTGGTCCCACCAAAAAGGGATGCACAGTTTGTCTGTCAACTGGAGACCGCTCAGCCCCTGGGATTGGAGATCTTTATGTTGGACACCGCAGAGGACGGCAGTCTCCCAGCTGGGCTATTTATAATCCCGGTAGTCTTTCCGTCTTCTGCTGTAGACGGGAAGACCATTCAGGTCCTGGTACATAACGAGACTTCGAAGGATATTACCATTCCGGCAGGAGCAGTAGTGGCCCATGTGTACCCCACTGACACACTTGTTGGGCCTTCTGGAGACAGCTACATCCACAAAGTAATAGACCCAACCTTGTTTGACTTCAGGGAGTCCCCTATTCCTGAGGCCTGGGAAAGGAGACTGCAGCAGAAGTTATCAAACTGCGGAGATGTCTTTTCTACTGATAAGTGGGAAGTGGGTTTAGCTCAGGGAGTAGAACATCACATTAGACTGACAGATGATAAGCCATTTCATGAGCGGTCCAAATGCATCGCTCTGGCGGACATTGAAGATGTACGACGCCACGTCAAAGAACTGTTGGCAGCTGGAATCATTAAGGAGTCAAGGAGCCCGTATGCATCTCCCATTGTAATTGCACGGAAAAAGAGTGGGACAATCAGGATGTGCATCGACTATCGAAACCTAAATGCTCGTACCATCCCAGATCAGTACACCACTCCTAGGATTGATGATGCCCTGGATTGTTTGGCTGGTAGTAAGTGGTTCTCCGTGCTGGACCTCCGCAGTGGGTACTACCAAATCGCCATGGCAGAGGAAGATAAAGAGAAGACAGCATTTATTTGCCCATTAGGTTTCTACCAGTTTGAGTGGATGCAGCAAGGGATTACCGGAGCTCCAGCCACCTTCCAGCGGTTAATGGAGAAAGCGGTTGGGGACATGCATCTGCTCCAAGTAATAGTCTATCTGGATGACGACATCATGTTCGGACGCACCCTTGAAGAGCATGAAGAGAGACTGGTACAGTCCCTTACATTCCAAATGATAAAGGGGGTAGGGGGCACTACACTTACATTTTGTCACACTACAGTAACATTACTAAAGCTTTTTAAATTGGTTAAAGAATGTGTAACCTACAGGTCTCAGTGTGAATCTGCTGTAAAAGGAAGTTTTACATTTCAATAATGTGATCAGCATTTATTCACAGCAACAAGTATTAAGTTTACAAATGTATATAATTATTCACTGCCATGTGATCACACATTCATACACTGTATATAGATGCACATTTCCAGGTTGCAGGGTGTTGACATGTTTTAACAACAAACACGTAGTGACAGAGAAAAACCAATTAGCTTTGTTAATTTCTGTCATCTTCTTTTTTCTGATGGAAGTTGGAGCATGAAGTCTGTTGAAATGCATGAAGCACAAGTCAGCTGCTGTTTTCCACACCAGCTTTTAACAGACTCATGATCACTCTCAGCATAAAGTGACAAGAATCAGTTGCATCATGGTCATGTTTCAGCGTTCACTTGTCAGCAGCAGCATGTAGTCAGTGCCGGTTATTTATTTCACACTAAAGAAAGAGAAAGAGAAACTGTGGGAATATTCTGTTTAGTTTGTTTATATCCTCTCTTTTTTTTTATCTTTTCCAGCAACACATTATGGGTTAGCTTTAGAAAATAGTCCCCTCAAGCAGGGACTTCAGTCTCCACAGAACTTAAATTCCCCACAGCTGCTCATTTTGCTCATTTCCAGCCATTTAATGTTTAATCTTAGGTACCTCTAGATTAGCTTGGCACCCCTCATAACTCCAAATACTATGTAATTGTTTCAGAATCAAAAAGCCAAAAGGCCTCTTTCTTCAAACGTGAGGACAGTTCATGAATGCACACAACTCCTTTTTCTCCACATCCTCTGGTCACAGAGCAGCAGCAGGAGGGAAAATATATCCACAAATCCAGTCGAAAGATTCAGCTTTTACAATGGCACCAGTGGATGTCAGACAAGCTCACGTGAATGTGCAAAGGCCTGGATGTTATGGCCACTCAAGGAAGACCTTATTGGAAAAGAGTCTCACGAGCGAGAGTTTGTGAGACGTGTATAAGCCAAGTTACTTCTGCATAGAAATACTAGAACATACGTTCACCTCATTTTTTGAGCTTTAGGTCATGTGTAAGATGATAATTCACCATTGTCACATTGGAGATACAACAGAAAACAAGGAAAAGTGCCTATGGGCTCTTCAATTTAGACCCTGGTTCTTATTGCAAAAGCGCACTTTGAAAAAGAATTCCCGTTCCCACACACCTACAGCCAGCCATTCCCCTCAGGAGGTGGTGGAGACCAAACACTGAGGTTCACCAGGTGAACACAGACACCACTCCACATGAAGGGTCATGCTGCTCTGTAGCTGCTGGAGGCGGGAATAAGAACCAAGTTCAACATATCAACTCAGAAGTGATGATATGTTAGTGCTGTGTTCACCACTTGTTTTGCCTTCTCTGCAGTGAACAGATCAGTTACTGCAGGCTGTCTCACTATTTGTACCTTCTCCTTCTTTCAGATCTTTCTGTTCAATGAACTGATTTATTTTGTTCTCGACTCAACAGACAAGTTTCCCCACTGCTTCAGCATTTACCTGCTCTGATTCACATCCTGTGTGTGTGTGTGTGTTAAGTGTTCTTCTCTGATAAACAGCCAAAATTACATCCCAGCAGAGGAAGAGAGAGGAGAAGTGGATGGAGGCTATCAGGGGAAACCACTGATATGGTAATGTCTGTCTCACACACACACACTGAGGCCTGCTGCAGTATGACAGCAGGAGAATAACATAATGAGCATAAGGTTTTGTTTTGTGTCTCACACAACTTTTACTACAATAGGAGACTTTGTGGTTTCTAGTTTGATATTTTGCCAGTTTTTAGAATCTTTAGCCTGTGATTTTACATTGTGTTGTGGTTAGCCATGCTCCTAACATAGCCAAACTGTCCCTGAATGTTTCCATCCAGAATGTGACAAGCTACACAAGTTTTGTTCTGTGCAAAAACTCACTCCAAAGTTTGTCTGAGGTTCAAATGCAGCTTCTGTTGTTCCATTAAGCAAATTCAAATGAGTACATTTCAAAGTTACAGTCTATTTAAGACAAATTTCTCTCTTTATTTCCCTGGACAGTACCTTGTTGAGCTGTGGTGGAGGTAAATGTTCTAGTGGTTGCTTGTAGGTTTGTTGTTGTTGTTGTTGTTTCCTATCAAATTATGCTCAGAATTAATGTGGAAAAAAGTTTGTGCTTTGCAGATTTGACAGCTGGAGTATTTTTGCAGTTGTGTTTTATTCCTTCCTCATCTGTGCTGCACATTAGGGAGAACATGGTCTGTGTATGCATTCATCCAGTGTGTTTTGAGAGAAAAAGCGATGGGCTAAAAGGTTCCTCAGATTTCACCTGAGACATCCTGAAAGCACCAAGTGCCTGAAAGGGATCAAAATGACCATAAATACGTTCTTTGCAAAGCTAAGAGAGTTACATGTATGTGGAGTCCATTTCCACAGTAGGAGAAGTGCTGGGAGGGAAACTCTGCACAGCTGTGTCGTCACTGGCTGAGCTAACAACAGCTGACAGGGGTGTCAAACAAATGCATAATGTGCTGTTATTCATCAGTCAACCAAACTAAATCTCCCTGTGTGTAAGATGATGTTCCCAAAGAGGCCACAGTGTTGATAGTGAGCATTTCACCTGCAGCAGTGACACTGACTCAGCTATAGAAACAGTTAGTGCATGCTGTTATATCTCAGCTGACCATATAATGATAACCGAGAGACAGTAATATTGATTATCCGTTTATGTGAGTAAAAAGCCAGTTGTGGGTAACAGAACTTAGATGCTGCTACTAGAATGTATCCCTCCAGCAGGGTACTGTCCAGGAAAATTTGTTTTAAATAGACTTCCTTTTTTGATTTGATTTGATTTATTCTTTCAAACATGTAAAGACAGTCAATATGTCAACACGCATAATTTCACACATATCCACAAATGCATTATCAATTTGCTTATACCTAGTACATGCTTGAACGGAGTAGGAAGAAGTTAGACTTATCCAGTCCTACCCCATAACATCATCTTACCATCATTGGTTTGCAAGCAGTATCTCTACATAGATAATTTTGTTCTACACCATGCTAGTGATATACTAAAAAATTATTACAGATTGTTAACATTCTTACATAATTACATACTTTGATAATTATCTTCTACATCACACAAGTAGAATTATTACATAGTGTTAACATTCTTACACCACACC